GACGGCACCAGGAATTATAATCAAAGAGCAGGGAAAGGATATCAAACTCCCCCCAGGGCTGATATCTAAGCAGCTGCTGCTCAGGTCAGCCAAACCCCTTGCAATCAACTCCTGAGTTTAACCAAAGCTTGGCATTAGTCCTTCTCTTTACCCCCTTTTTTTCCAAAGGGAACACACTTCCCATTTTCTTAGGTAAGGGGCAGGAAAGGGCAGTGGCAGGAGCTACCCAGAAGCTTATTTACAGTGATTTAACAAGGAAGAGCATCTGGAACACCACTCCCACCTGCTGGGCCTTCTATTTGTTGCAGCAGTAGTCTAATAGAAAAAAACATTTCCTTCAACCCAGTACCACAATCTCTGGCTCAGAAGATTTTAACTTCAAGCCAAGACTAAGATCCGGGTTACAACCCCTCCTGGCTACAGGAGCTGGAAGCACCCGGCAGCAGTGCCCTTCGAGCGTGGCTGAACCTCAGTGGGAGGCTCAGTATAAGCACCTGAAGGACAACTTTCTCCATGTAAGGGCTCTTCCTTGGAGAGGGGAGACCATGAGTAGACAAAACGGAGAAGTCATCTCCATTCCAGCCTGCACTCTTTGAATGCCTGAGAATGTAAGAGAGAAGATTAAACACATGTGTCAGCATGAATCAGAGAGGCCATTAACAGAACTGAGTCATCCGAAAGAGAGGGATGCTTGGATCAGAACAGTGACACGGTTTGTCTTCATCAGTCGCAGCCTGTCATAATAATCACTATTACGAAGGCAAAGATAGGCAGTGTCTGCAACAATTATTTAATCAAACGACATATACAAAGTTTTTGCAGTGACTGGAAAACCTGACAGAGGCTGTAATAAGAACAGAAACTGCAGGGCTACTCCGATGTAATTCCAGTCTTTCAAAACATCCTTCCCTGCTGATGATTCACAACAGCTGGTCCAAAACACTTCTCCATTCAGGTATAGTACTTTAAAGCTCCCTGCCAAATAACGCAGGTAGCAGAAGCCTTACATCCTGAGGAAGGAGAACAAGATTTATATTTGGCTTGATCCACCCTTCTACATTAAGAATGCGAGACTTGAGTTGTTCTTATTATCATCTCCAGCCAGCATCTCAGAGCCAAGAGAACCTCCATGGCTCTAGCCGGCCAGTCACAAGTTCTACAAAGATGCCGAGTTTCTCTGCAAGTCTGACATCAAAGCACTTGCTGACAGAGGCACATGTTCTACGTCTCATCTCAAACACATTGTGGAAACGGCCAGTTCTGCATGCTGAGCACTCAGCTGCAGAAAGACTGAAGCTGCAAGAATCCTTGTCATGTTGTTTATGGTCTCCCAAAGTATTCTCTCTCAAATTTACGAAAATCTTCCTCAGTAAAGACAGTGCCCTCGGGCTTCTTCTTTGCCGCTTTCTTTGGAGGCTGATCTTTGGACTTCCTACCTCTGTTCTGAGCAAGAACCTTCAGACAACAAAAAATGAAAAAACAACAGTCATTGTTATCCACACAAAACGGTGACTTTCAAGTTCACCTGCAGCATCTCTGCTATTCCGTCAGTACCCTGCTATATCCTGGAATGCCTCCAAAGAAAAGTAAGACGCAATCACCTATGTTAACCAAAGCAGGTAACAGGGACAACAGCAAATACTAACTTAGTATTTGGAGTCAAATACAAAAACTACACTCAGGTAGCTGCCACAGAGATAGAAACACTGGTTTCAATTCAGACCTTTCTGAGACTGTGATTTTCTTTTATCCTATCCCTCCATGAGATAGCCTGAAAACCCAACAAGTTGGTGGAAAACAGGTTGGATGAGGCTTTGGGCAATCTGGTGTAGTGGAGGATTTCCCTGCCCATGGCAGGGGGGTTGGAACTAGATGATCTTTGAGGTCCCTTCCAACCCTAACCATTCTATGATTCTATGATTCTAATTCCCTCAGCATTTTCTAACACACTAGCACCTGCTTCCACGATCTTCAGTCTGAGAAACGCTGGCCAAAACCACTTGATTTATGTAAGTTAAAAGCCTCTATCTCATCAAATTGCCCAATATTCTAGCAGTGTCAGCTATTCCCCTCTTCCCATCCTGGCATAGGACTACCTTAAGGGAAAGATCACTGATTAAATTTTCAGGTTATGAGAAATATCATTCAAGATGCTATGAAATTCCTATTACATGAGCCAGCAGCACATCTGGTTCCCTGCTAAACAGCCTTCAGCTACAGAGGAGGACAGTAAGGGGAAGGTCTGAACCAGGGCTTCTTTGTCAGCTGAAACTACAAAATATCTTTGGTAATCAAGAAAAGCCAATGGTTGTCAGTAGATCTTAACTAGTATCAGAGAACATCGCAGGGAACAACATATCAACAAGAGTTTAAAGCTTTTGTTTCACCAGTGTATGCAGAAATTCCTCAAAACCACTTCTAGATAGAAACTTAATTTCACTCCTTTGCACAGGGTCTAAGCTGGAACATCTGGGGATGACTCCCATTCACCTGTGTTCCTCAGAAGAGGCAGATCCCCAAACAAGGAACTGACAGCCTTACTTGTTCTGTGATGGCTTTGTCTGCAACACATCGTCTCTTCAACATGTACTGCAGGTTTGCTCTTAAGTGATCCACAGCTGCCTTCTTGTGATACTCCTCTAGGTCAGAGCAGAGTGGGACAAAACACATCAGCTGCTCATCCAGACAGCAGGCAAAGAGAGAGATGGGGGGATTAACAAGGCCCCGGGAGAAAGAGACATCGGTACAGCTCAGGGACAGGGGTGCTTCCAGAGATCAGGCTGTGTTTAAGCAGGGGACAACAGAAGGGCACCCGGGAGGACGGGAAGGGGTAAATACAAGCAATCGAGGAGGGGGGCTGCGGGACCGTGCATGCGACGGCCGTGGAGGGCGACAAAGCTGCTCCCCCTTCCCCCCGCGGGCAGGCCGAGACTCACCTATCGCCGACTTCACGGCTCTGCCCTTGACCGTGGCCTTGTTCCTGCCGGTTCCCGCCACCCCGGCGCTGTCCCGCCCCCGCTGGAGTCCCGCCGGAGCCTTTCCCCGGCCTGCAGCGGGAAGAGGGACGGGGTTACTCAAGCCGTACGTCA